AATGATTCATTACTTTTGGGCATCAAATTAACGATCACTGGATTTCTCTTTGAAGTCAGAAAGAGTACTTTGAATCCCATTTTAGAGTGTAATTTGTCGTCCAAAGCAAACTCAAGTCAAGGTCATTCCTATGTTTGAAGCAGAATTTGGTAGAATTTAATTAACATCACACGAAAGCGAAACGTTTCTTAATTGTAAGTTGAAAATATTATTTGTTGTATCTTAAGAATACTAATTTAAGCATTAGCATATTTAATAAATACACAAATCCATCCTATCTGTAACAGATCACTCCTGGATGCCTTTTAATGGCAAGGCTTTACCTTGTTCTTTTGTGACAATTTTTATTTCAATTATTTTAAAGTCTACATATGTCGTAAAACTCCATTTTTAGTTGTAAAGTCCTTATTTGGGTTTGAACAGGAGCTACCTATATATTCACAGAAATACCTTTATATTCACCTCTAGTAAGTTCTGAAATATTTTGTATGGTCTTGATTTTAAGTTATTCGCTCACCGGAAGAAAATATTATTAAAAATATACTTAAAGATACATTAAATATTTCTTTCCAGAAGAGTAACTTGCTTTTAATTTTTGCATAGCAAAAAGGCTCGAATACCTTTATCTAAAAATAATTTTTTATCAACGTTTTGCAAGGTTCTCAGATGAAGATTTATTTTAAGGTTTGCGCACAGCAAAAAAGAATAGAAGCACTCTCGGAAAACTTTGTATGGAAAATACTTTGCATAGTTAAGTTTCTCATCTTCCTCTTCTTCACATAGTACGTGGTCAGCTTTGAAAATTCATTTCAAAGAGTTTTTTTCCCTTCTCTTTTTCGTCCTTTGGAAGAAAAAAAAAGAGGAAGTAAAGAGAAGTTGCAGGGTGTATTATAAAACATCAGAGATGCTGGGGAGGAGTAGAGGTTCACTCAACGTGTTTGCTCAAGCTTCTTTTTACCTTCACTCGAGTAAGCATTTACTCTTCTCTCTAGATCATACAATCCCAAGAGTGTAAAATATTAATATCCATTCTCTTTACATGCAATAGAAAGGAGGGAATAAACGCAGGCTCAAGGGAGAGTTATTCATTGAAGGGAAAGTGGACAGGGAGGGAGCAGATATTAAAGCTACGCATGTATAGGATAGATACGATTCTCCGAGTTATAAGCTACCGCTTAATTCAAAAAGAATTTGTCGCCTCATACATGTTTTATGATGAGATTATGCCAGCTGAGAATACGCTCGGATATGTACTCAAGAATTCCTACTTACGTTCAGAGAAAATTGTTGATAGAATTTCTCGGAAAAGTCAATTGACTTACAAATTATTCGAAGTTACACTTGTTTTACCTCCTTTTTATAGATTGGTAATAAATTTTTTGTTTAGAGTTTTAATTGTAATCTGAAAAGTTTAATTAATCTGAATTAAATTTGAAAAGAATAAATTCTTGAGATCTTTGAATTTCATAATCATACTTTACATTTTCTTGCCTGCTAGCTATTTGATATAAGATCTGCTTTATATAGCTTCACCATATCATAAGGCGAATCTCAGTTTTTAATTATTTACGCATTCATAAAAATATGCGATAAATACAAATTAAACATTACAAGGTGTCATTGCGCAAAAATATGGATTGAGATAATATGCTCTAGATAAAAATGGGTACGTTAAATTACTGTAACGAATCTAATTGATAAAAAATGCATATATCAGTTTATAAGAATTCATATATCACATATGTATTTACATTTTCTTTAAACCTGAAAATATCAGTGTAAGAATGTTTTAGGAATTCATTGATTTACCACTTTAGTTAGAGCTTAAAGTAAAAAACAGTCTTAAAATTGACAACTAGATCACATACGGCATTTTATATAACCTCGATTAAATATCTCCTACAGATGACCAATTTTTGTGACCAAATTATAATATTTATAAATTATTTATTTTTATGACCAATTCATAAATATTTCATAATTCATACTGTATTCTTCAATAATGAATTATTTCGTATTTCATATTTTCATTATAAATATTTCATATTCAAATCCGCTGATTAAATTAATTCACTGCTACTCTTGGGGAAAAAACTCATAAAATTATGTAAAGATTTATAAAACCAAAATGAAGAATATTGCATTTTTTTAACGTTTTGGTGAAGCCATCAGAAAAAGTGATATTGTAAGATTTTAAGTACGGGAAAATAAACTTCGCTTTTAAAAGGAATAAAAATTAAAGCTAAATTAAATGTAAATTATGCATTAGTGTTTTTTAATTATAAGGAAATGTTTCCAATGTATGTTTCTACTAAGTAAATTCCCTTATATGTCACTTGTAAATAGATAAAAAGCTTTTTAAAATAATTTCTCAAGTTACGTTTCTCTCTTGTAAAAATTGTAATTTTATTCTTTAATAATCTTTGAAAATAAAACTTATTCTGTAAGCAAAATCAGGAAAAAAGTGGGAATTTCATTAGAACTTTTTTAAAACATAAATTTTTCAGGTAAAAAGAAGGAATAAAATTTTTGTAATCTCGTGTTTGTGAAAAGCATTAATTTAATGAGAGTTGAAAAAAGATTACATAACTTACCTTGAACACATTGAATAAAGAATGTTTTCCTTGTTTATAAAAAGGAAATTGTTGATATGAAAACTTTAGAAACATTTTGCTAACGTGGGATGAAGATCTAGACAAACAGGAAAGAAGGATATTTTGGGAAACATGGGAAGATGAATAATTTAGAATCTTTCTGCGACACATATGCCTCTTCGCTGACAAAATGATTCGCGATGTCCTATTTCAGTCTTGCGCACTTAAAGCTATCTGGACGTGGCAACAGCAATAGCGTAACTTCAGGATTTTAATTTTTTCCGACAGTACCCGAGAGGAAAGCATCAAAAATTGTGTTATTTCCGCCTTTCCTTTTATTTATTCGCCTTCTATATAATAATTGAGGAGACGTTCATGTGATGACAGAAGGTGTTCAGAGAAAAAGATTAAGCAAAATGATAGCGCATGCTTTCCCACTTGTTATTATTTAGTAAAAAATATTCATTCTGTATTAGCAACTTTTTCCAATGTAATTAATGTTTTATCTAAAGTATGACTGAAGACAAAGCTTCAAGGGTGGGGAGCGGCATTTTTTCATACTTCACACTCATGTCCTATCACATTGCTGCTTTAGCGCGAGCTCTGAATGAAATTCTGGAAATAGAACTCATCTTACAAAATTCATAAGAGACTGAACTGGGATAATTTACCAACAAAAGCTTATCCTAGAATGCCTGAAGTGAAAAATAATTACTATAAGAGAAATAACGCTAATGGGTCTCAGCTGAGAGATTATATAAGGCTTAGAATTTTGTTATTAATCTGGCATATATTTGTACAGTATATTCTATGTCAATTAACATATTTTCTTATGACCTGAATTTGTACTGTCACTTCTCCTTTTCTTTAACTCTCATCACGATGTAAATGAGTTAAGGGCATTTTAAACAAAACGGAATTATTCTTGAAAGTTTTAGTGGCAGATCTTTTGTCAACGACTTTCGCCAGTAGTGTCTTTCTCTCGCCCACTCTGTTACGTTAGTATTCCCACATTTGTCATTATATTAGCCGAAGTTAAATAACGTGTTTCAAATTTGAGCCAATGCTCAGCCTGGCCAGTTGTACTGCAGTTATGCTACGAATCACTTTAATTTGTAAAGATTTTCTATGCTCGCAAATGGCAGAATTTTAATTTGCAAGCAAAAAGTTGTGCAAATGTTTAAGGTTTCAAGAATTTAATAGAAAGTTTATTTAAACCTTCAAGACATTTATTTAAACCTTAAAGCTTTTAATATAAAATTTTATTTAAACCTTCTTAAGATTATATTGTAGTCTTAAATTTCATAACTAACTTGTTGGTCTTAACAGGGATGTAGAACTTTAGTTAATTTACAAAGAGAAACCGTACATATGGGGAAGAAGGATAATAACAAAATTCTCAAAACTACCTCAATGGAGAAGTAAAATCAATCAGCTTTATTCAGGTATATCTTTGAAGACTTTGATGATATTTGAGAACTGCATGCTATAAATCATTCCTGCTGTACAAAGTTCAATTCGGAAGGACCTTCGCTCGACTTGGGGGAGTAAGTTTTCCACTTTCGCAGCTAATCGAGCCCGCCTTCCCCGAGCTGGGCACTTGTAACGTCCATATATTGAGAGTGGACAGTATAGGAGATATTATTTACCTTCACAGTGATTAGAATCATCATCTATATGGCAATCCATGTAGGCTAGGTAGGAACTGTAAAGGTACTGTCAAGTCTCTCACTAGCTTTGTGATAGTTATATGTTAAATAATCTCAAACGTTATCCTTGGGGAATTTGCCTCCGGAGATCGCCTCTGGGATGCCAGCGCACAATAATCATATACGGGCTACTCGTTGATCTGATCTGGAGCGCACTGCTATACAAGGTCATCCAAAAATAACAGAAAGAGTAAAAATTCAACAATTCGAAATGTAAAGTTGGGATGATGGGCCCATTCCCAATGTTCCAAGGAGGTTCCCTATTCCACGACGAATAGTCTATTCTCGATGTTCTCTGCTGCTTTGCTTGTGCACAGGCCTCATCTTGGGTCCAATGGGGCCATAGATGGCATTGCAGCTGCTGATATTTAGATTCGTTTTTTGATAGGAGCTCTGGCTGTTTACCGAATTACTTCATATAGTCCTTCTTAACAGCTACAATACTAGAGATAATGACTGAAAGTCACGATTCAGCTCAACTTGGCGTGGTTGCTAGTTACGTGAGTTGATATAGTGGGTCGTTCCGAAGATTGTGTGTGACTCCATGATTGAGTGTAACTAATCGGATTCTTTCTTGCTTCTTCCCTGTCATACCACACAAACATCGTATTGTGTGGTTTGACAGGGAGTCCGTGGCACTTGTGACATTGTTCTTAGTTTTCCCCGACGTAAGGAGGTGCTATGCATTACCACATACTTGATCATTTTTATGACTGACCCGGTTTTGGCTTGCTTTAATGTATCGCATAATGTTATCTGTTGGAGATTCTTCGTAATGACGCATTTGCTGCCTCGACGCTGTTTGAGAATTGTAAATGTCTTTGTGGATAGAACTGAGACCTACAACGTAGAAAGCACATATCAATTGCAAAGACTGAAATGCCAACTGTTCAAACATTGAGATGGCTATCTCATTCACAGTGTGAGATATCACCTGCCTTTTTAATTGCAGATGAGTATGATAAAGTAATATAGTTAAACATATTGTTTTACTGGAAACCGTACAATGATGATGCAAAGTTTTCAGAAACTTTTCATGTAGATATTATTTCAGAAAAGAGGGAGCAGAAAATATTGTTAAAAGAGAAATACAATACAGAGTTCGAGCTTTAAAAGTATAGTTATAATGGAAACTCGAAGAATTGTGGCATCTATATTTAATTATACAGAAATCTATAAAGTAGAAGAAAATTTTAAAACAATTATTTTGCTAATTTTCAATCCGAAAGCGAATGACATGTGTTCAGTTTGGTTTTGTTGGAAAGACAAAAGGAAACTGAAAAGGTTCGCAAAGAAAATGCGGGTTACTTATTGAACTAGTTCCAAATGATTTCACCAACATACTGCAAGGGAGGTTGAAGAAAAATTTCAAAATTGTTCTTATATCGAAGAAGTTTCTTTGCAGCGATTTAAATTGACAGAAGAGAAATTTTGTTTTCTACGCATTAAAACAAAAACTCTGACTGCTAAAAAATATATATATATATATATAAAAGAGTATTTGCATTAGGAAGAGAATAGCTGATTTCTCCAGCCGAGTTAGCTGCCAAACTTGATGCTTTTATTATTTACGAAACTCTGCTTAGGGGACCAAAATAGCATGCGCATCCAATAGCCCGTAGATTAGGTCAGTTATGGAAAAGTCTCTTTGAAATATATATATATATATATGTATATATATATATATTATATATATATATATATATATATACTACTATCGAGAAAGAAAATCTTGAAATAACTGCAGATGAGAAAAACCGGGTTTCATTAAAACCGAATGACTTATCTGTGCTGCTAAAAAAAGAAAATTTCTACGAACATCGATATATTATTGTAGCCAATATTTTAAGAACATGAACAGCTATTTCACACTACAAAATTAATAATTCTCTAGCCGACGGTCAACAGGCCCTCATAAAATGTTATACGACAGAAGTAATGGTCACAGAAGAAGGAAAGAAAATCTTAACTGGTTTCATTGTTTTCTCAGAAACTACACTCTTCTTGACTTGCAATCTGCTGGTCTTGTACTGTATGTAAGAAATAGTTGTTAGTATTTTTGTGACAATATTTGTCACACCGAAAGGAAATTTCGGTAAAAATATGTCTTGATGAGAAAATTAATGTCAAGTCTTGTGCATTATTAAAAGGAAAAAATGGATCTATGAAAAAGCTTAAAAAAGTAGGTTGTAAATTACAGTTGATTACTTCAGGATAATAAAAAGTTTGTTTAACCAAGGGCAACTACCTTTATTACAATACCATTTAAATACCGGAGCTCATTGTACAATTCTTGGCTCCCAATATCAAATAAAAAGGCCTAATCGTAAATAAAGCTGGAGAAAAGAGATAGAACGTCACTGAAGAAGGTGAATCGCCGTATGCTGCTTCCATGGTTTCCATAGAATGTACAAAAACTAGATTTATTTGTAATAAGTGCAGCACCTCAAGTATAACACTAACGGAATTGTTACGAATTCCATGGCCTTCTCAAAGATTATGCACTTTTCTATAAATTTTTTTTTACGGTTCCAGAGTGGAATGTTATGTCGCGTATTTTAATTATTAATATGTGTTTTAAGTTATTATTATTCTAATATTTTTATTTGTATTCATGTGTATTTTAATCTGGAAAAAAGTATTCTTAAGCTCTTAAGGTTTTATTTAACTCGTTATTCTTGAGTAGGAATTGTAACAAAGGCGAGAGACGGTTGAAAGGAAACACATCTGGTTTATTGGTTATAGCCTTTTACTAACAGTGGAGGCAGTAGGGGGTATGTGTTGTCGCCTTTTTAACTAAAGGTGTTTGAAACGGAAATCATCTTCTTGTCGCTTTGTTAAAGTTGCAGTTTGCTTACTTCAAGACAGTGGGGGGTGTACTAAGCTTAGGTAACTTCGAATTCTCGTAAAACTTAGTTTTCCGCTTGTTAGTTGGGTGGTCTACGTTTTCTCTCACGTTGTGCGTACAGATGTTTTTCGGATTGCATTGTCAGATTTTCTGCTGTTTGATTCGTCATGGGTGTGTCATTTTCTCAGTTTAGATAACGTAAAATTCCGGCATTGATGTGATTTAATTTTATGCTTTTTGAAAGCCTATGAACTCAGAGGCGGAGAAACCGAGATTTCCTGGGTGCTTACACCAGGCTAGAGTTCATTATTTTGATTCTGATTTTTGAGCTAAAAGGAAAAGGAGAAGCAGAAAGTGTGGCGGGACTTCCCCCATGCGGGACGAGCAACTTGAACCAGCGGGCTGCGGTGATGGTTGTAGCGGAGTCTGATTTGAGTGAATTTTGAGCAGCCGCGATGTGAAGGAGAAAGAAAGATCGAGGGACGTTTTGCCCTGCTTCGGGCTTCCTGAGCAAGAGGGTTTGAGCTGCGCTTTCTTTTCTCCAGAAGAGGCATTTTTACTGCGAGATGATTAAAAATTTTGTAATAGATGTAAAGAGCAATTTACTACAGATTTTCCCTCTTCACTCGAATCTCCAGATAATCCTTCGGAAACCGAAACTTTGACATTCCCGAAGTGAATATGTCTGACACTTGGAAGTTTCAAACATAAGTATGTGTCATTAGAATCCGGCACCTGAGGTTCCAGACTCATAATCTTTCCCAGGTAGAAGTATTTGTTATTACTATTCGGCACCTGACACATAGACATTCCACACAGAAATATGATCCTGAGGAACGAACTTTTCCCTAATCTGGCTGTTAGTTTTACAAAAAGGACTTCATCCTGTTTCCAGATATTCTTGTGCAGAATGGACTTCAATGCGCGAGTGTTAGTTTATTAACTGTGATCAAGGTGTTGGCTCAAGGAAATAGACTTCCTCCGTAAGTCGGTAAACTGGACACTCCCCCCCCCAAGGTTGTGTATTCCGAAGAATATGTGAGTGAAATTTTTAAGATTATTTTCTTTCTCTCTTAGTATTCCCAAAGACCATAGTGTAACAGTTAATAATGATTTATCTACCTGTTTATATTGTTATTACTTATATAAATTATATATTACACTTAGTAAAATTAAGAAGTGATTTATTATTCCAAGTGATGGCCAGTTTTCGGATGTTTAAAATTTGTTTCACCTACTGAGTTAGTGAGTCAGAAAATGTTCACCTTTATTTAATGAGAACCATTTATTTGGAGAATTATAATGTGTTACACCTTCTTAATCTGTGAAAAAAAGTGTAAGTATTAATTTAAATTTTAATTATTGTAAGCTGAAATTTGTGTAACAGATGCGATATTTTCATAGTAAAAATATGTGGTAGGGGATGCTGATCAGTTACCCAAACATTTACTAATAATATAATATATTCAATAATTTAATAAATGTATGTTTAAAATTTAATTGCGTTTGTGTATTTATCTTGTAATATACTGTGGTCTGTCATGTCCCTCCATTTGTTTGAGCCGGGAGGCTTTTAAGAAACATCAAGTTTAATTGAATTTGGGGTTATTGATTTCTCCTTTGCATAGGTTACTCACAACGCGAACCTAAAAGTTAAATTGTACTACCACTATACGAATGCTTATAAAGAATATTGATATGATATACGATTGTTTATTCGATTGATCTTTGATATATTATGAATTAGATTTGTTTTGATTATATTACTTTTTTAGTTAATTTGTCCGGCACCATGAGTAAGGTTAAAGTCTTAGAAAGGTAATAAAACACCCTAAATTTTTTATATTTAACAGAACATATAATTTACACTTGGGAAACTCATCTACAACCCTGGAGCAGTATTTTTCAGGCAGAAGCGCTAGCCATAACAGCGGCTGTTGAATGCGCTCTGACTTCGCTCTCTGCTTCCATCACTATTTACTCAGACAACATGTCCACTCTTCTAGCAGTCTTAAATCCCTGGGGAAACTTTTCCACTTATTGTCAACATACACTGTCTTTTGCAAAACGATATCCATAAACACATGAATTGCTATGCGTCAGAGCACACGTAGGCAATGAAACAGCCGATAAACTTGTTGAAGAGGAAAGTAGATGCAGAGGAAAACAATAGGGATAAACGCAGAGGAAATCAATATCCTGGCTCTCACCTCTTAATTGAAAATGAGCTGCTCGTAGAAACCACGCAAAAATGGCCACGATAATGAGATTTAGGCGAAAGATATACACACAACTTCTTTCTGAAAGCCATCATTCATAAACACAGACAGTCCCACAAATCACTTACGTACTTTGTCATGGACCACAATCCGTCTCCTCTTTATTTCCATCGCTTTGGCATCTGGGCAATTGCAATGTGCGCCTGTGGAGCAGAAGGCTCTACAGATCATCAATTCTCACTAATTCTACTCACCTACCACATCAGTTCTTCAAAAATGTGAACCCTCACAGATGTTTTATTACACAAAGTTGTGTCATTATGGACAACGTATGTCAGACTATCATCACAATTGCAGCCCTGAGGTAGGACTACTAGGTCATAGTTAGCAAAACAGCACTCATTCTGCATTGCAAAGCTGCAGCGCATTAGGTGTGCAATCTGAATACTTAGCATAGTATAGCGTGATCATTGACGGAAAATTGCGAACTTGAGCAAACTAGTATTCACATAATGTGAATTTAAACTATCCTAATAGTTAATTGTGTAACAAAGATTACATAACAAGCTATCACGTGTAAATATCTCACTAATGTACGGACTTTCTAGTTTTTTTTCCTGAGATTAAAGCACATTGTTACTTGGCTATTTAGTATTTTTAACATTTGCAACATAATACTCCGTACCATTTTTATCATTAGTAGTCAAGTACACCTTTAGACTAGCTCTTTTTATACCCAAATATACTGCTTGCACTCTATGCACTGTATTTGTATTTGTCATTAAATTTGTATTTTCTATTAACTGAAAGGTGTCCACATATGTTTTTGCACTAGGCTCATTATAAATATATATATATATATATATATATATATATATATAATGATTTTTTCTCTATTCCAATTAACTGTATCAGTGCAATCAATTAATTTAGTACGCATATAGTATTGTACATAAACCCTTGCTCAATCTTTCGGGAGACTACTAGAGACCTACGAATTCAACGAAAGGTGAGCCACTATACTCTCCTCTATTTTTAAAAGAAAAGGCTACAAGAAAGCCCCCCACGTGTGAATTATTTAATGTATCTTTTTTATGTGTTTGTTTGCGTAAATTTAATTTAAGCGTAAATTTAGTATTTTTTATATGTGTATGTGAGTTATGCGGATATACGTTTTCGTATATTATAAAAATGTATGTGTTATAATGTGTATGTTTATCAATTCGTCTTATTTACAGAGTGACAAGCAAAACAAACAGCTCTGTTCTTCAAACGTTTTGTAAAAGAACCTAGCCATAGACATCCTTGTTTGGCAATGCAAACAAGCAACTCTGCAAAATACACAAATAAACGCTCTAGGCTGTGCTCCCGTGAGGCTAGAGGGAGTTTTTTCTTCTGATCAGAGGAAGATGTGGGACTAATTACTTGCTTACTTCTACTAACCTCCAGACATCTCTGTCCTCCATCACCTGTCACCTGAAAATCGTATGTGTGTCAATATCCCCGCAAGAGGGAAAACACGAAATTAGATGAGAAGGGCCTTCATAATCTCTTCGTAGAGATCTCCTTCCGTATATAAAGTTGCTGCAATAGAGTATACTTAAACCCATCCAATGTTTACCATTCCTGAATCTTAAAAGCTCCTTCCAAAGATCTCCATATTTTACCTATAACACCCTTACAAAAATAGTGTCTTCCAAGAAACACTATATCCTCGAAAATCCCAGAATCCTAGTTCCTTATTCAGGAGATAAGTCGGAACCAGAGAAGGATGATCTTCCCTTCTTTTCAGTAACTCTTCTTTTATTCTTTGGGAACCTTACAAGAACGTGGAGGCGCAGGTGGGACTGCTTTCTAGGCAGTCAAAGATGGTGAATAATTAATGTAGTTAGTTACGTAGCTAGCTGGTATTAGAACACTCTCGTGTCACAAGAAGGAGTATGGAAGTGTTTATTACATTCTCTAATTTGATAATGTACTGTAAGTAATGTTAATATGTGTATGTCGTTTTCTGTTGAGGAGTTTAATTGTTTTGCACGAGAGTAAACTCTCGCAATTAGGTATAATAATTATACGAAGAGTAGTGAAAATTCATTATTTGAATGTTATTGCGGCTGCTAAAATGCTTAGTATATTCATTAAGGTATTTACGGCAAAGTATTAGATAAACATACGTTCTCAGAACGATTACTTCAAAAATGATTGAAGGCAAATAGAGTAGTGCTAAACATACACGTAGGAAATTCACAATATAGGCAATAGGCATTACTTCAGGAGATGGAAGTGGAATATTAAATTAGATGTACAGAGATAAGACAGACTTTAAATCATCGAATATGATTAAATAATTTAAAAGTGCTTGTACACGATTTTATAAGGAATTACTTTACTGCATATGCTTCTGTTGAAACAATTGCTTAGTATTAATTAACATTTTATTGATTATTTAAAAAGCTATTAATGTAATAAAATTTAAAGTTAGGGGTACAAGACAAATAGCAAAGAATACATCTGAAAATGTGCGTTGTGAAGGGAAATGAATGCTGGATATACATTTAAACAAAAAATACGCAAATGAGTTCTCAAAATTCATTAAATTCATATTTAATTCGCATTTAAAATTTTTTTTTATGCCATAGCAAAGCACCAAAAAGTGATCTGCAGACCTTGTGTCTGAAACATCTGACGCTTTGTAAGAGGCAATGTCGTGAAAAATTCATTAACTCTAGATAAAAAAGAGATTTTCCTTTCTTTCAAAAAGGATTTTGCTGAGAGTGTTTTCATAGATATATGCATCAAAGTGCACTTTTGTAATTTGATACAGTCAGTTTCAATTTCTTTTTCAAATAATATTAATTTTTGTTGGTAACTATCTATTTCCTATGTGAAAGTAATTTTACCAGCTAAAACTATTTTATCCACCAACAGAAGTATACGACGTAAGCTGCACCAAAAAAGTTATTAAAATATCTGTGACTCACTTTATCATTGCTTTTCTAAATGCTCAATAAACTTTCGAAATATTGATATTGTTGATGAAACACAAATACTTTAGTAGTAAAAACAGAAAATCCTGGTTGTTAAAGAATAGAGAAATTAATTTAAAAGCAGAATTAATCACTATTTTTTATTTGAAGTATCATGATTTATTTTTGAAACAAAAATAGTTTCCATACTATTCTACAGGGAAACTAAATGCTACTTTCTAGTTAATTAATACTTACATTAATTATGATTAATGGAAAAATCTCCCATTTCTCTTTCATAATCATTAGAATCAGAATATTATTTTATTTACATTTGTAAAAAAAAGGTAACAGTATCTATGATAGAGAGTCTTAAGATAAATAGAAGTTGTAATCTGCTTCTTCAAAGTCATTTCAGATTTCATTCCATTCATTTCAGATTTCATTTCTCCAAATATATATTTATAAGGCATGCTGAAGCAAGAAAGAGAACATGATCGTTATAAATGAAGATATTACTGTATTTTTTAAACCGAAGAATAAATTCGCTGTTGAAAAACCTAACAATAATAGTTATTTAGTTCTTTTGCATTTTTATGTTTCCATAAATATATATACATAAAAA